TGACATAAAGGTGCATTCGATTCGGTCGATCGATGTGCCCTTTGGGACTGTCTGCTGAGGAAAGGTGTGCCTGATAAATATGTAAACATTATCAAAGCGCTGTACGCGCATAGTTCGGGCAGGGTGAGGGTTTATGGCAAACTCTCGCCACCCTTCAGTATCACCAGCGGCGTGAGACAAGGATGCCCGTTGTCACCTTTCCTCTTCAACTTCGCTATTGATGAAGTCATAGAAACAGCGTTCGCTGGACACGACCTAGAAGGTGTGGAGCTACTTCCTGGTGAGCGACTTCTTGACTTGGAGTATGCGGACGATATTGCCCTAATCTGTGACAGCTTCCAAACATGCCAAAGAGCACTGGACCGATTAGCACTGGCTGTCAATCGTTTTGGGCTATGCTTTGCTCCATCGAAATGCAAAGTACTTCTCCAAGATTGGCAGGGACCCAACCCTGCGCTAACGCTTGGTGGTGATCTGCTAGAAGTTGTTCAGGAATTCAAGTACCTGGGCAGCTATATTAGCACCCGTGGGATTGAAGATGAGGTTATGAAGCGCATAGCAAAAGCTCGAGGTGCTTTTGCCAATCTCCGCCACCTGTGGCGCAGACGCGACATTACTCTCGCCCTGAAAGGCAGAGTTTACAACGCAGCCGTTCGTTCTACTCTCTTATATGGTTGTGAAACCTGGCCCATCAGGTCGACAGACATGAAGAGACTCGTCACATTCGATCACCGCTGCCTTCGCAGCTTAGCTCATGTCTGGTGGGAACACCGCGTGAGCAATGAGCGTGTTCGACGTCGCGTATTTGGTGCAGGAAGAGCGAGTGAACCGCTCAGCACCATTATATCACGCACCAGGCTCCGATGGCTGGGCCACGTGTTGCGCATGCCAGCACACCGACTCCCGCGACGTGCATTGTTTGCGCGTTGTGGGTGCGGTTGGAAGAAGAGGAGGGGAGGCCAAGTGATGACTTGGTCGAGAGAAATGAAAACCCTCACTTCGAAGTTGGCGTCGGTTGGTGCATCCCGACTGCCTGGCTGGGGTCCTAAGGACGGTGAACACGTTTGGTTGGACACACTTGCTGATATGGCTAGGAGCCGGCACCAATGGCGTTTGTGTTGTGATTTCCTTTGCCCATCCCCCTCCTGTATAGTATCCCCCTCCAATCACGATCTCACCTGTTAGGCATAATATGATTCTCCTTTAACGGCAGCCAGCTGTTAGCTCTCCGGAACGATGTCCATCCGTTACTGGGGACTCAGCAGGCGTGCCTCTGTTTGTCACTGTTTTCCTTTTCTTTTATTTTGTATTGCGGCACAATAGCTGAGGTGTTTTCTACCTTCAGCTAACGTGTAATGATGATGATGATGATGATAGAGCACTTTAAGTCGAGAACGTAGAGGTGTTTGCTTTGGCATTTACTACTCTGAAATATTTATTTGCGATCAACAACCTTTGGAAACACAGAGGCCCAGTTAACAGCGTCAGAAGGTACCGTCCATTATCACGCTGCGTTTCATAAGCACGCTTTCCACTCCATGAATTGCATCAGAATGTTGGTAGAGAAATTGTTTTAACCGAATTTTGCTTGTTCGCGCATGGAATGTGAGGCAATAATAATAATAATAATATAATAATAATAATAATCACTAATCTCCTGTTCTAATTGACCAGAGTAAAAATTCAAGCAACGCTGAAGAAAGTAGAATTCATATCTGTATTCACAGATGCCGCAAGTCGCAAGCAAGTAAAGGGGTTCCCTTTTCTTCTGAAATACTATGGGCCGTCATTGGTTATTCTCAATTTATTAGTTTTGCAGTCACTTACTGATGACATATCGGGCGCCATTTATAAATTTGTAGATATTGTGTTAGAGCAAACTTACACAACCAGGAAAACTGTAGGATTTTGTGCTGACAACGCCAGCAGAACTTTCGCTGTCATTCAGAGAAAAGGATAGTAAAATGATTTGAGTTCAGGTGGGCAAAAAAGCGGTTAAATTTTCATCATTGGAGAATGCGCGAAAGTTTACGTAAAGCTTGTAAAGTTTTGATTCACCTAGGCAGGCAGCAACATTCCCTTCAAACATGCCGAAAAAGATGTTTGTCAGAACTGTTTCAAGAGGACTTGCCAGAGCTACATACTTGATCTAATTGTAAGCAATCCATCAATTCACCTTAAACTTTCTGTATCAAAGGAGATGGAACAAGAAGACATGCCGCCATTTCTGGACGTGCTCTTAAAGAGAAGTACAGATGGCACACTGCGGCGCACGGTGAAAAGAAAAGTGACCAGTTGCAAACAACCGCGTCCACATAAAACTCTCTGCTACAGGGCCAGGCGAATTTGCAGTCCGGAATTCATCAAGGCTGAAGAAAACTATTATACCTGACACCGCTTTCCAATAATTATCCAGAGACCTTCATCCAGACCCATAGCAGACCACCCGACGTGTAGCTGACATTACAAATAACGGAGAAGTGGAGTGTTTAATTGTTCTTACGGTTCAAGGGGAATCATTTGGCAAATTATATTGGCCACAAGCTCAGGTCCGCTCCACGGCGCACCCACTCGACCGCCCAAATATGACTTAGCCACACTACACGAAGGATTGCTCTTCACAGCCGTCCGAGTAGCTCGTAAATACGTTCGGCCTCTAACGTCATCTACCAATAAACCTGCAGTTGCGGTGATACTTACATCTGAACGGCTGATCGCAGGCTGGCTCATAGGGTAGCTGAACACTACCCATTGTGGTTAAGGCAGTTGCTGTCTCACCAATTCGGAGTGGACCAAAGAAGGAACAGGAAACCTGCCTCGTCTATCACTGAACACCTAATGACGACTAGACACCAGGTGAACCCATTCGATTCATTCATTGTATTACGCAACGGAACACCGAAGTTATTGGCAAATGGCGAGGCGCTACTGATAAGTTTGAATTGTCCCACGCCCTGTACTCAGAAGGAACTGAGACAGTCATTTAGATTGCCAAGAATCTCATTACGTCATTCACATCAATTTTGTGGTTATCTTTGTTACTAAGCATGAACCGCATTTGATGCGTATTTTAGTATGCCTGTATTGCGACACTAGTGACGAGAGCAATCGAAAAGTTGGCCTGTCACAACTTATATCTTGTTACTGCGTTAATGAAATGGTTGAAGGTGACTCATTGTTTCACGTTTCGTTAAGTATTTATTTATTCAAACTTGCATGTGAAACGGAAGATACATATCTCAATTTACGTACAGGTGCCACAAATTGTTATTTTAACATACAAAGGGCTATTTATTTGATTTGCCACTGATCAACCTGTTGTACAAATGATTACTGGTCCCCACGAATTTCTGACTGCATTTATATGTTCTCATGCGTATGCGACGACCCATCTCTACTATTAAATCCAATAGTTCCCAACCTACTAGTATTTTTCTTTGGGATAAGTACTCTCAAATCTGCAGAAATGAAGACGTTGTCCTACTTGACATTATAGCTTGTTCTCGAATGAGTGACTTAACGCACAACACTAAACGCATTGGAACAAATTTCCCTCCTGACCGGGATCCGTCCTTTCCGATATAATTAAATTGAATCACAAGAATTTTGTTTTCCATTTCTGCTATAATCAAAATTCCATGCCGAAGTTTCAGGTTTGCTGCTCATGTACTGAAGGGAACGATAACAAATTTTAGTCGGAAACATTTGCCCGATAAATGTAATATTTGGCGCTGACACATAGCACTGTTAAGAATTGCCAATAAATGCATACCAGAATTCAGATAGAAATGTAAATTTGCCATCTTGCGGTCTATCAACTCTGGAAATATGCGTGTCAAAACTTAGGGAATTAAATATTGCTTTTTTCCGTTATTTTCCATTGTTTCTTTAAAAACAGGCAAGATACATATCTATTGTCATCTTCCTCAACGCCATAAATCATACAATGTAAAGCAGCCCAATGAAAGCACTAATATTCCACTGACAACTGATACCTAAACCTCCTTGGTCACAGCCTGATTACATATTTGGATATGTTGTAGCATCTAAAACGCATTTAGAATGTCAGAAACATGCGTGAGCTTACTATATTTTGTGCCTTTAGGGGCACGGAAAGTTTGTCCTGGCCTTAAACGAATAATGTGCATTTGTTGCAATCAAATCAAGAGTAGTTGTTTGGTACTACATTGAACTACATGATGAACCAACTATGATACTTGAGCTTCGCCAGAAGGTGCAGAAATGGCCGATAAACTTTAAATGTTTTCAGTATTAGCACTGTCCTCATGAGGACTGATGCCATTTGAAGTTTGACTATCATGAATTTTACGATCTTCTGCGGACTCCCACATAGGAGAATCGCTAACTTCAAAATATTCATTCTTTTTCTTGTTTTCGTTTTTTCTCCGAGCTGAGCATTTGTGTTGCAGACGTTTCGTCACCAGTCGAGGAGACATCCTCAGTGCCTCACAGCTTAGCGTACAGCTCGTTGAGTGAGTCCTCGGCGCTTGGTCGATGGGCAAGTGACGTTTGAAATTGACCTTTTCACTTCATGTAATGTGATCTTCCGTGTTTTGTTGCTCGGACGCCGTTTATTTTGGCGCCGACGACGCACTCAGCGACCTGGATGCTAGGCAGTGAAGCACTGTGGATGTCACTTCAGGTTGTGAGGAAACGTCTGCTGCAAAACAAAAACCGGAACAGTCAAGCTGAGCTACAAGTATTCCGATTGATCGCATATTCATACTTGTCTTCAGACTCGTTGTAATCCACAACTGTCTGTTCTCTTATGGCATCATTTGCTGTTCTTCTCCTACAAGACATTGCAGATAAATGCGAAATTCGACGCATTTTTTCTAGGTAGCAGTGATTTCCTAGTACCAGAATGCTGAATTGATTGGTGAAAACTTTTTCACATTTGTAAAATGATGTCGGCTCCCCAGCCTGTAATTGTTACCATTATTTACGTGTGACGAAATACACCTCTTTTGTACGCATAGATGTCCAATTGATTATCTCAATTTCTATGATGGACTCAGCATGGAGGCGTCAAAATCTATACTGGGCACGCCATTCTGTGGTTCCGGCAAACGTATCCGCATTGTGTCCTCTGGCTCGGCTTTCCTGATCCTTTTTGTAACCGGAACGTGGTCGGCTATCAGTTGGGATGAAAGTGGCACTGGCTCACGATCAAAACGTCAAGGTTTCCGCTTACTGTACCATTTTTCGGAAACATTTCTTCCCATCAGCCTAAAGTACTCAATGAACCACATACGCGGAACCGGTGAGTACGGACAAGTTGACTGCAGTAAAAGTTTATGGATAAGTAGTTTGCTTGGTTTCATATATTTTCCAGCTTCCTCAATACTGGGTTATTCCATTACTTGCAATTATATTCTTTATTTTCGTTCTCATATTCCTCATTAATTTTATGTTTATTAATACATTAAAAATTACGCTCTTTTGCGCTGCAGATACCTTGAACATAAAACATCTAGCCTCGTGTTGATAGCACACATCGATGCATATTCCGCAACCTCACTAAAAATCGTTAGACGCTATTATAATTTGAACGTACCCAACTTTAATTTACTATTCTCATAGGCAGTTCTTGCTTTATATTATCTTTCTAAATGATGTGAGATGCTTCTTATCAAAAGCAACTAGATTGCGCTTAAGACTTTTGGAAGAAAAAATTAACTAAACGGGATAATATCAGAGACAAGTGGTTAATAATCGACCTGGATTTCATATTGCCACTTGTCCAGAAAATGAACACCTTGAATCCTCCTGCAATCCTGATATACGGCTCAAACTTTGGGCAAAGCACATTCCTATACTTTATCTAGCTACACCAACGCAGTAAATACTTCTGAACGACGGTATAGGATAGGTAGTTTAAGGTTTTTATTGGATGCTATCCAAACTTAAGTAGAATATATGACTTATTTTCATTCGGTTTTATGTAAACGGAAAAATGAAAAACGTGTGACTATGATATATCTGCTGACTCGGATATAGAGTGCATTTTCACGATGCAGATTAGAAAAATTTATAAGATGCTGCTACTTACGTATGGTTGGGTCACTTTATTTGATATTCGTAGCGATAAAAAGCTTTACCAGATTCCACTAAGATCGTGTTGGTTGGCAAAAATATTTTGCACCAGTGATTCCGCACCGTTTGACATCCTTTGGTGCTTTCCAGATCCAAGATACAAGCAGCAAGCAATAGTTTCCAATATGTATCACCTCTGTTTTCGCAAGTCTGCTGGTGAACACACTAATCGCGCGTCCGGAAATAATTAATTTGAAACGCGACTAAACGGTATTTATTTGGTTAGAGCGCAGTAAAATACACCAAATATACAGGATTGCGCTTATCCCTGGTTGCATCAAGCAGATAAGGTTTGATGCTGGGAAGCGTCTCACAAGCTGAAATTTAGATAAGCCACAATATTACGTCCAGTCATAAGTACTGTCATGATTTGTGGGGGGATGGGAAGCTAATTTAGTACTGGTTGAACCAGGTTGCAGTTCCTGTACTTTTGCAGTTTAGTAATTTGACTTTTGCTGACTTATTATTGAAAAAAACAGTAGAATCACAAGTATTTCACTATGCAAACTGTTATCACATTGTTATTTTAAATAACAATCCACAATAAACTTAACAATTGCAGTGAAAATGAAAACTATTTGGTCCACAATCACTAAACTTTTTTAACTGATCATCCCGCAATAGCAATCGGGAATAACATCCTTAAATCATAAGATATAGAGAGATCAAACTTTGCTAAATCCCATACCTGCATACCTAAGCCGTGGCAAAATTACCTAGCTGCTTAGTGCCACTTACCTTATTAGACTTGATGACATATTCCTTACTTATCATCCAGTGACGGAAATCCATATTTCACTAAAGAATAAAAAGGGTGCAGCGCCAACCTGAAGCAAATCGGCAGCAAGCAGTTAACCCGTGTTAGATACAACGTACTATCTGATCTTCTGGACTTTATAAACAAAGTTAAAAGGCATTTCTAAACCATTTGATTAGTGTTAGGATTGTTTAAACACGGTGAAGCGCATAGATTTTTCTGGACCCTGGTCGATGTTCTGAAACATAACAACGCTGCCGCTAAGATAGCCACATATTATTGACCGTAGGGTTTGGATAATATCTGGACATGGTGCAGCAATACATTTCATCGCACAAACGAAGGAAATGCATTGGTGTATACTGAATACACAATACTGAGAAAACGCAGCAAGTAGAGTAATCTGGATAGCCATATTTAATGTTTTTAAGGGAATCTACTTATTATTATGACGATTATCCCCGAAATCTCGTCCTCAAATTGTGAGTCCAGGAGAGTTTGAACTTCAACACCGACTTTGCTTCGACTATGTCTGCAGGCAGGTTGTTCCAAATATTCACCACCCTCCGTTCGAAGCAGCGTTGGTGAGCGATCAGCTTCAAATCCGATACTGCAAGATTGTACTGGTGTCCGCTTGTGCTTCTTGATGTGCCCAGATGGAGCAGCGGCCGTAACGTGGGGAACTCACCCAGGTACAATATCCGGGGCCTCATGATGAGGTCAACTCCCATTCGAAAATATGACAGTGTGTACAACGGTAATCACTTACACCGGTCTTCCTATGACACACCTAAACTGGGGATAGGCCTTGTGGCAACATGTTGCACTCACTCAATCCTTTATACATCGCCCGGGTAAGCGGACAGTAGACGGGTGAGCTGTACTCTAGCATTGGTCTTTTGAGAAAAGAGAAGAGGCGTGTGTCAAGCTCCTCAGTCCAAGTGCAGCAACTGCATTTGGGCGCCTAAACCCAAAATTGGCACATCACATTTCGGCTTCAGGCGTCGACGTATGCAAGCATCCTCTCGGGAACTGCTGCTGCGGTTGCAAGCTACCCTTCAAAGTTTCGGCGTTTTCTACTTTTCTTCTTGTTGCATGCATTTCGTTGCCAGTTGTAGGCTTTGTAATCTTAGGCAGAGCCAGGGTGCACGTATTTAGTTAAGAACTTGCGTCGCGGTCGAACCAGTTTGCCATACTCCTTCTCAAACCATAATGGCTTGACTGGTCCGGCTTTCCGATATTTGAGGGGAAATATCGGGCGCACACTGATTTTACTCCCACTTTCATGATAGATCAACAGGCTTCAGATGATGAATTCTTTGGTAGCTTCCAGTCTATCTCGCTGGGGGTTTGAGTGGGGCCACTAATGTCCACCTTCTAGTAGTTTAAGGCTGGCTCCAGCGCGTAAGTATTCGGCAGTGGCAACTCTAAGCTCGCCATGCTTATCGGGTGGTTACTAGCTGCCAGCAGTACTTGGACTGGAACATCACACATTTTTATCGCATCCGGACAGAAATAGGTCCAGGCACGATGGAATTGAGCGCGTAATAATGCGCGTTAACTGATTGATGTACTGTGTGGCCCAGTTTCAAACATCGTATCCGCAAACTTCGTTTCGACTTCGCATTGACCAGGGAGAAGCTCGACGTCAGGCCACCGTATTCGAGGTAGGTTGAAACCGCCTACGAGCAAGACTTGCGGACGAATGATGTGGTTGCCTACAAACGGCAACCAGTCCAAGCTGCAGCTCAGTGGACTGCGATACGCAAAACCAACGGGGAATTTGCCACGTCTCAGTCGGTGTGAACAACATAGTTGCTCACACAGGCCATTAGCGCTTCTGTAGATGCTCACGGGTCGCCCGCACAAGGGAGAACTTGTGTATAGTAGTACTCCACCGCGGTCATTTAATAGCCTATCACAGCGAAAGCAGGAATACCTAATGATTTCAATTTCTTAGGCAGTTATCTCGGAATTTAACCAAGTTCCAGCTAGGCCCAACACATTTGATTGCCGTAAGTCAACGAAGTGGCAAATGTCATCTCGTTTCTTCACCAGACTACAAACATTCTTAGGGACTAAACGCAGGCAACCGTAGGAACCGTCGAGCGTGCGTGCAGCATTACCGACCTGTTTATCCTTATTCGGGGAGGAAGTCTGGTAACTATGCGGAAATTTACAATGCGGATATTTGTTTCCACGTCTTCATCGCGCCGCTTTAGTTCAATCACGGCGCAATTGAGTTTGTCTCCGTCTGTTGGATCTTGCCTGCAATGAGGCTGGACCTTAGCGTGGTGCGATGGTTTGCCTGCATCGGAGATCCATTGAGCTATGCTGGGTGGTGTTTTTTGTACATTCAGAGCCCCTCATACCAGATGGTTCAATGGGTAAAGGCCAGAAAGGCTCGGGCTCCTGGTCCTGCAGGTTGGGGGTAAGAATGAGGATGGCTTCTTATTTCAGCAGACTGGATTCTCTCTAGTCCAGTGCTAAAATCTGCTGCCTTGCGGTAAGGTTTTGGAACCAAAGCCTGGGTTGAGAACCCTAATCGCTCTCCTGTTTATGCCTGGGTAACATGACAGTATTCTGCCCACGCAATACAATGAACCCTTCATCAAATAATTTCTAGATGTTCTGGCCGTCGCAGAGGATAATAAACGGCACCCTATATGTTGCATCGAGCAGGGTGGACGGGTGTATGGTTGCTACTGCTCAGGCCTTCCCGTCTTCTTATCCCTCTTCTTGCGATTCTTCATTCTTATCTTTCTGCTCCAACTTTACTTTTATCTCCATATTTTCTATCTCCCAAGTCTTGGCCCTCCCCCAGCTTGCATCAATATTCGCTTGTTTTCTAGTTTCAAATCACATGGTCGCAGGGCGTCGCACCAGTCCAGTCGACAAGTCCATGCTCAACCAAGCGGTCAACGTCGGTTCATCCTTTACCCTATGGAGTATTCGCGTTTCGCTAAGACTTCCATGCCTCAACATGCGCACTTTGATAAGGATAGGCCAAAAGGCAGCGTTTGCGGGCATACTAGAGACCCTATCGATCGATATTTGCTTTTTAGCAGAAACCCGCCGGCAAGACTCGAGCTCCTAGGTTACCATGCGATCCCCCAAATGCGACCCTGATGGCACACTCTTACTGCGCCTGTTTGGCGATGATGCAGCTTCAAATGCCGGTCGAGATGGCGTCGGCATTGTTTTTAGTCTTCGGGCTGAAGCTGTCCTGATCGATTGGATCCCAGTAAACGGTAGTATATGCGCCGTTCTATTAGCTGGTTCATTCCATGCTACAAAGTAGCTCGAAAAAAACTGTGCTGTATGCCATTGCGGTCTACGCCCATACAAACTGCAGCACTGATTCAGCACATTCACGATCTCCATCGTTACAGAAGAAGCACGGATACTGT